ATCATTACTTCGTTTCAATTACGTATTTTCTGTGGTGTGTGTGTGAGGTGGGGAGGTTGTGTATGAGGCAGGGAGAGGTGTGTGTGGGGCAGGGGAGGGTGTGTGTGAGGGAGGTGTGTATGGGACAGGGAAGGTGTGTGTGGGGGCAGGGAGGTGTGTGTTTGGAAGGGAGGGGTGTGTGTGGGGAGGGAAGGTGTGTGGGGCAGGGAAGGTGTGTGTGAGGCGGGAGGGTGTGTGTGGGGTGGGGAGGGGGTGTGTATGGGGCAGGGAGAGGGGTGTGTGTGGGGCAGGGAGGGTGTGTGTGGGGAAGGTAGGGTGTGTGTGAGGGAGGGAGGTGTGTGTGAGCCAGGATGGTGTGTGTTTGGAAGGAGGTGTGTGTGTAAGGAAGGAAGGTGTGTGTGAGGCAGGGAAGGTGTGTGTGAGGCAGGGAGGGGTGTGTGTGAGGATTGGGGAGGGGGTGTGTATGAGGACAGGGAAGGTGTGTGTGGGGCAGGGGAAGGTGTGTGGGGCGCAGGGGATTGGTGTTGAGAGACAGGGAGAGTGTGTGTGTTTGGCAAGGGAAGGTGTGGGTGTGGCAGGGAGGTGTGTGTGAGGAGGGAGAGTGTGTGTGAGGCAGGGAAGGGATTGTGTGAATGGCAAGGGGAGGTGTATGTGGAGCAGGGAGGTGTGTGAGAGACAGGGAGAGAGTGTGTGTTTGGCAGGGAAGGTGTGGGTGTGAGCAGGGGAGGGTGTGGGTGAGGCAGGGAAGGTGTGTGTGTGGGGCAGGGGGAAGGTGTGTGTGTGGGGCAGGGAAGGTGTGTGAGAAGGGAGAAGGTGTGTGTGGAGGCAGGGAAGGTGTGTGTGGGGCAGGGAAGGTGTGTGTAAGGAAGGGAAGGTGTGTGTGGGGCAGGGAAGGCGTGTGTGGGCAGGGAAGGTATGTGTGAGGCAGGGAGGTGTGTGTTTGGGGAAGGGAGGGTGTGTGTGAGGAAGGGAAGAGGTGTCTGTGAGGCAGGGAGGGTTTGTATGGGGGCGGGGAAGGTTCTGTGTGGGGCAGGGAAGGTGTGTGTGAGGCGGGAGAGGGTGGTTGTGAGGCAGGGAAGGTGTGTGTGAGGCAGGGAAGGTGTGTGTGAGGCAAGCAAGGCGTATGTGAGGCAGGGAGGTGTATGTGAGGGAAGGTGTGTGTGAGAGACCAGGGAAGGGTGTGTGTGGGGCAGGGAGGGTGTGTGTGAGGGAAGGTGGGGTTTGTGTGAGGAAGGGAAGGTGTGTGTGAGCCAAGGAGGGGTGTGTGTGAGGGCAGGGGAGAGGGTGTGTGGGGCAGGGGAGGGTGTGGTGTGAGGTGGGAGGGTGTGTGTATGGGGACAGGGGAGGGTGTGTGTGTGGGGCAGGAGGAGGGTGTGTGTGAGGAAGGGAAGGTGTGTATGGGGCAGGGAAGGTGTGTGTGAGGCAGGGAGGTGTGTGGGGAAGGTAGGGTGTGTGGGGAGGGAGAGGTGTGTGTGAGCCAAGGATGGTGTGTGTTTGGAAGGGAGGTGTGTGTGTAAGGGAGAGGAAGGTGTGTGTGAGGCAGGGAAGGTGTGTGAGGCAGGGAGGTGTGTGTGGGGTAGGGAGGGTTTGTATGTGGGAGGCAGAGGTGTGTGTGGGAGCAGGGAGAGGGGGGTGTGTGTGAGGCAGGGAGGGTGTGTGTGGGGATGGTGGGGTGTGTGGGGAAGGGGAAGGTGTGTGTGAGGGAAGGGAAGGGTGTGTGTGTGAGGGCAGGGAGGGTTTGGTGAGGCAGGGGAAGGTGTGTTAGAGGCAGGGAGGGTGTGTTAGAGGCAGGGAAGGTGTGAAAGGCAGGGATGGCATGTGTGTGGGGCAGGAAGGTGTGTGTGTGGGGAGCCAGAGAAGGTGTGTGTGAGGCAGGAGGGTGTGTATGAGGCAGGGGAGGGGTGTGTGGGGCAGGGAATGGAATGTGTGTGGGGTGGGGCAGGGGGTGTGTGTGTGAGGCAGGGAAGGTGTGTGTAGGCAGGGAGGCTGTGTTGGGAAGGGTAGGCGTGTGTGGGGGCAGGAGTCGTTGTGTGAGACAGGGAGGTGTGTGAGGCAGGGAGGGTGTGTGTGGGGCAGGGAAGGTGTGTGTGTGGGGAGGGTGTGTGTGTGGGGAGGCAGGGAAGGTGTGTGTGAGGCAGGGAGGCATTGTGTTAGGAGGTAGGCGTGTGTGGGCAGGGAGGCGCGTTGTGTGAGGCAGGGAAGGTGTGTGTGAGGCAGGGAAGGTGTGTGTGAGGCAGGGAAGGCGTGTGTGTGAGGCAAGATATTGTTTGTTAGTTCATGACGACACATTTTTCATTATTCAAAAAACATTTTTGTTACCGGTTGCCTAACATTTGTTTATGTACAAGTGAAGCAGATGGTGTGTCGTCAGATACCTCTTTCTTGATCTTGTACCCAACTCATCTGGTGACTTAAATTTTTGGGTTCGTTTTGTATTTTGTTTAATATTTGTAATATTTATCTTCAGTGATATTGTAGTGTAACACTGATTATCAAGTACAGGTATTACCTTTAGTGAATATTATTTACACAAAATATGGTATAAAAATTTTGGTACTAAGTATAAAATGAAAGGACAATAATTGTCAAACTTTATTTTTTACCAAAACCCGCAAGACATACCACTTTAACTCGCCAAGAGTTTTGTACATACAAAATGATTGTCTCTTCACCACCCAAGTGTTACCCACTCTCTTGACACGAACACTTTAGTACAAATTATACAAAAGTATTATATAACATCTCTGAGGACAAAAATTACGTCTACGTCCAGTACAAGACAGTTTTTATATATCAAAACTTGTGTGCTGTTGACATCATACTGAACTCTCCCTCTTGCCCAACAGCGGCGTGCTGGGCGTGTCCTCCTCACACCCAGACTGGCTACACCCGCTACCTAACGATGTTCGCTTCCTTCTAGAGTTCTGGTACTCTACAGGAGGCGGAGGAAGGCTGCCTTCAATTCCTGGAAAAGGGAATTGATGGGGATTGATCGTAGAAGAATGACATTTTTCCTTAGGAGGACGAGATGTGTGCCGTGGTAGAGTTGATGAGCAGTGAACTTGAATGTTTGAATGTAATCGTTCACCGCCGTATTTGTCGGAGTCATAAGGCAGAGTGAAGCTAGAATGGTCCCCTGACTTCAAGGAAGTTGTTGAGGGCGACGTCGTCACACCACCGTAATGCGCACTGGCCTAGAGAGAGACAAAGATGGAAGATCCATAAGTACTGTTCACTGGGTTGATTTCAATTGATATCTGAATTTACCATTAGTAAAAAAAAAGATTATCAGACTGAGATTCAGATACAACACCCGTATTAAAAAAAAATAGAGAGCGAGAGTACTCACTGCTGCAGGGACGAGGGCAGGGACAGGAGCGTACTTATAGCGGTCGGGTGGCAGAAGGATGGCTGCAGCGGGTTCAGGGTCGGGGGGGCGGCACCCCTCCTGCAGGGGGATCACGTCAGGGTCAGCGTCGCTCTCAGACTCCACCTGGTGGGTTGAAGAAGAAGACACACGATCTGAGATTATTTTCAAATAAATACCAGTTTGACTAATGATCAAAAAGCTTAATTCTCTTCATTCAGGACAAACACATATGTAAAATTCATCTACATAGCATATTTACATGCGTACACAAAGTTGGCAAAATTCTAAGCAAATGCCCCTAAGTTTCTGTACAAAAAAAAGCTAGAAGTAAAGCAAACCAATTGATTTCTTCTTGAATCCCGGTGATATAATTATAAAGCATTTTGACACCCCATCGTCTGTAAATACTTTTAACAAGTATTAAACAAGGGGATGGCTACTTTTCCGGGTCTTAGTTCATAATTGCAAGAGGCCCGAGTACGTGAAGCCAGTGTATAAGCTAAATGGCCTTCAAAACACATACTGCAGCCAAATTGGTTGCCTTACACATGAGCAGTGAAAGGCAAATGTACGATATAGAATACAAATCTGGTGATGGAACAAGGCAAAACATTAACATGATTTCACTGACACCTCTTAATGAATCTCCAAAGGCAGGGTCGACCTACCATCAGTGGTGCTACTGACGAAAGTGTTACTGTAGATCATAATTATGTGACAACAGACAGGAACTAACCAGACTTGATTTAACGAAAGGTTGTACTTCAGATTAGAGTAGTTAATTCGGCTCTATTTGTTTCATAATATTGCCCCAGTCTCCATAAATAATGGTGACGAGGTGGCGACCCTTTCTGTTGAAACTGAATAGAAAATTGGGATGGTTGTCGGCCCCGAACCCTTTGCAGCCGTTCAGCCATACCGCATGAACTTGGTTGCCGTGGCATCTGGTTCGTGGGGCGACGATGTTGGTAGGGGCCCGTTGTTGTGTCTGTCCTAGGTGTGCAGGGCCGAAAAAACGGGCGATCCTCTCTGTCCCGCGAGGCACTAGGTTTAACCCTATTGTACCTCTGCCTTGGGATCGGGAGGTTGACCGCGAAGGTGACTCGAAGGACCCCCTGCAGAAGCGAGGGGTCCAGATGGGCAAATACTTCGCGTCGAAGGTTTATGCGTGCCGCGCCTTTTCCGTAGTCTCCCGTACCACCGGTTGAATGGATAGTCACGTGGACTCTCAGTAGGGCTAGGTTGTCTACACAGCCTCTTAGTCCACCGGTGGAGTACCGTCGTGGACAAGTTGTCGCAGCCTGCGAAGCCACTGTGGCAGCTGTGGCATTACTGCCTGAGCAGAGAGTCGTGCGGCGGAAGCCATACTCATCTGCTACGTTCTTCTTACAGGGAAGATTGGGAGGCTTTCAGGTTGAACTTTGGGAGCAGAGAGAAATCCAGCTGGTGTGGCACCGACACTCACTGCAGATCTCTTGCAATAAATGACAAATGCAAACGATTGTGCCATGAATGTGGGTGAATCTTTATGCGTAGTAGCTCGAACCCACCAATTTTCTAGTCCCTCGCACAATCGGTTCCAGGGATAGTATAGATGTCATAGGGGTTCCCACTTCACCTCCTAGGAGTAAGCTTTGAAGATTTCAAAGCACAGGTACAATAGCTCCGCCCAAGTCATTAAAATATACAATTAGATCAAACAAATGATTGTTGACTTCAGCCTGATCGTAATTAAGCTGTTGATCATTGACATTATTCAGCAATTACTTTAGGTGTGTGATCCTTTGGCTACTCACTTACTTAATTCTCCTGGTGACTAATTAACCGGTTTGTGTTTTCCCATGCCTTGCTTTATCTACTTATCATTCGCCTGTTTACAAGTTACTATGATTTCCTATTGTTATTCTGATCATGGAGACAATTCCGCTGTGATATTTCCAATAATTAATTACATCTGCCACGTACCTGTTCTCAGTAATAATATTAACCCCCAACTCCCAGACAACCTTACCTGTATATCTCTCTCGAGGCAACTGGCGTGGTGTGTGATGACGGGAGACTTGTGGTGTTGTGGGGAGTCTTCGGGCTCAGTATCCTGGGTGGGGGTGTCATGCTGGGGGGAGTGGTGACGAGGGTGCCGCGTGCGGAAAGTGATGAGGAGGATGAGGACGATGATGATCAGGATGAGCCCTGCCCCGACCCCCAGGGCTGCAGGGATGAGCGAGGGCATGGCCAGCACGCTTAGGTATTTATTATTGGCGTCACTACCGCTTACGCCGCCGATGACGCTGCCTATGCCTCCCCCGTTCTTGCCGCCGTCACGGACCTCAGCTTCCGAGGGTCCATCTGTCGGTTGGTAATAGTTACGAGGTGACAGGTTTCTGGCAAAGTAAATGAATTGATGATTCACACAAAGTATATGTACAAATAACAAGGACTTATTGCTTAATTTCATGTTATTATACTAAGACTCCATTTTGCGGGCAGTGTAAGATACCCTATTCTCTAAAGAAAGGCCGAGAAGTACATGCAGCCAATGGTTGGCATCTCTTGTGGCATGGAAGAGGCAGCCAGTGGCACCTCTTCTGGCAAGGAAGAGGCAGCCAGTGGCACCTCTTCTGACAAGGAAGAGGCAGCCAGTGGCACCTCTTCTGGCAAGGAAGAGGCAGCCAGTGGCACCTCTTCTGGCAAGAAAGAGGCAGCCAGTGGCACCACTTCTGGCAAGGAAGAGGCAGCCAGTGGCACCTCTTCTGGCAAGGAAGAGGCAGCCAGTGGCATCTCTTCTGGCAAGGAAGAGGCAGCCAGTGGCACCTCTTCTGGCAAGGAAGAGGCAGCCAGTGGCACCTCTTCTGACAAGGAAGAGGCAGCCAGTGGCACCTCTTCTGACAAGGAAGAGGCAGCCAGTGGCACCTCTTCTGGCAAGGAAGAGGCAGCCAGTGGCACCTCTTCTGGCAAGGAAGAGGCAGCCAGTGGCACCTCTTCTGGCAAGGAAGAGGCAGCCAGTGGCACCTCTTCTGGCATGGAAGAGGCAGCCAGTGGCACCTCTTCTGGCATGGAAGAGGCAGCCAGTGGCACCTCTTCTGACAAGGAAGAGGCAGCCAGTGGCACCTCAACTAGCAAGGAAGAGGCAGCCAGTGGCACCTCTTCTGACAAGGAAGAGGCAGCCAGTGGCACCTCATCTAGCAAGGAAGAGGCAGCCAGTGGCACCTCTTCTCGCATGGAAGAGGCAGCCAGTGGCACCTCTTCTAACAAGGAAGAGGCAGCCAGTGGCACCTCATCTAGCATGTAAGAGGCAGCCAGTGGCACCTCTTCTGACAAGGAAGAGGCAGCCAGTGGCACCTCTTCTGGCATGGAAGAGGCAGCCAGTGGCACCTCTTCTGGCATGGAAGAGGCAGCCAGTGGCACCTCTTCTGACAAGGAAAAGGGCAGCCAGTGGCACCTCTTCTGACAAAGGAAGAGGCAGCCAGTGGCACCACTTCCCCGACAGGGAAGAGGCAGCCAGTGGCACCTCTTCTGGCATGGAAGAAGCATGCAGTGGCACCTCTTCTGACAAAGGAAGAAGAGGCAACAAGGAAGAGGCAGCCAGTGGCACCTCTTCTGGCAAGGAAGAGGCAGCCAGTGGCACCTCTTCTGGCATGGAAGAGGCAGCCAGTGGCACCTCTTCTGGCATGGAAGAGGCAGCCAGTGGCACCTCTTCTGGCATGGAAGAAGCAGCCAGTGGCACCTCTTCTGGCAAGGAAGAGGCAGCCAGTGGCACCTCTTCTGGCAAGGAAGAGGCAGCCAGTGGCACCTCATCTAGCAAGGAAGAGGCAGCCAGTGGCACCTCTTCTGGCAAGGAAGAGGCAGCCAGTGGCACCTCTTCTGGCATGGAAGAGGTAGCCAGTGGCACCTCTTCTGGCATGGAAGAGGCAGCCAGTGGCACCTCTTCTGGCATGGGATAGGCAAAGTCTCCTCTACAATCTCTGATAAATTCCTAGTGACATTATGGTCTTGTCTTCATCTCACCCTGTACGCAACCATCACCTTTTCGTGTTTTTTCTTTTCGTCCTTTCCATCTTAGGGCTGGTTAACTCGCCATGAGGGTTGGCCGACTCATGAGTCTGATAGACATTGTATGGGGTCAATTTCTTTTACAGTGCTGGGCGATTTCTTTACTCTCAGGTCAGTAGATTCACGGTCTAACTTAAAGACTCACTGTGAGGGGTTGGCAGACTCACCATGGGGTTGGTATATGGAACCGTTGGCGCCCGTGCTGAAGACAGTCACGTGGGCGGGGGTGCTGAAGCCCTTATCGTTGAAGGAGGATATCACCAAATCATATTTCTGTCCTGTCTGCAGACCCTCCACCTGGGAAGTACAATTTATATTAATAATAGAAATGTTAGGAAAAATTACATTAGGAGGTTCTGTTAATCGAAATAGATAAGTTGAAGAAATACAAAACTTTACCCGTTTGTTCCTTAAATCTATGTAATCCTGAAACATTGGTGGAAAAGGTAAAGAAGGCGTGTCCAGCCCTTTGAGAAACATACAGAGTTAGGTATAAGTACCAAGACAAGCACCAGAATGGCTCACTTGATGAAGAAGAACAGTACTAATTACGTATTATTATCATGCATAAACATATGGAAGTCGAATGGTTCTGTAAAGTGGATTTCCCGATTCCTCAGCGGTCAGGATCGACACCAGATGATAGCTACATGTGGTAAGTTCCTTAACCCGTTCGAAGCCGATCCAGTCAACTTTCTTATCTTTTAGTGACGGTAAAGGAGAACTTAACTATTCAATAGGACTCCTGGTCAAACATGAAATCCTTGTTTAGGAAGTAACCGAGTTATCTTGACCCAAAAATTTCAAAAGTTAACTCTGCCAATAAGCTCGTGGCCGTGATTGTCAGTGATAGAAAATGGATTTTACTGATGCATTACCTGCAGTATAAAACAACGATCAGCGTCGGCTGTATGCAGACTATGTGAAAACTGAGCGACATCATCCGAGAGAAACGACGGGGAATGCCAAGTAGAAGTGTACTACTGCTCCTACACGACAATGTAGTGACCCACAAAACCCGTTTCACAAAGATGTCTATTCACGACTGTGGTTTCGATCAACTCAGCCATCCTCCCTATAACCAGATGAGACCCCCAAGACTGTCTTTCGTTTCAGAACCTGATAAGGGGCTGAAGGAGGCTACTGAGACATGGTTTGAGGAAAAGCAATAAGACTGGCATAGTGAGTTTGAAAGGCATGTGAAGTAAGTGTACTGAAGTCGGGGAAATCTATGTTGAAAAATATAAATCAAGTTGTGGTTTTCCCTTCTAGCTATGTACCAGTGAGAGTCTGTCTGTCTCCCATACAAGTACCAGTGTATCTGAGGAAAATATTGGTGATAAATCAAGGAGCGTGAAAGGCTCACTGGGTGTGGAGATGACGGGGCGTGAGAATCACTGGGTGAAAGGATCGTGGTTTGTGAAAAAGTGACCCGTGAAAGGGTCACGGGTTGTGAAAGGATGTGAACAAGGATCAAGACTACCGGCAGACTCCCGAGTATTGTGTAAACGAATGTTAGTTACACTCAAGTGGCAGGAGACTGACTGGTCTATACAACAGAATTTACGAGAGGTATATTACCCCTATTGAACAGAAGAACGACGAGAGCATTGTTCCTTGTCCCGGATGCATTTCCTTGTTCTCTGTCTTTCGCGAATAACTTTAGAAGAAATTCTTTGTTCTTCTGCCCCTCTTTTACGATACTCTATCTTCTCCTGGAGGATTTCCTTTGTGTGCTTGATTGCTTGCGCTTCCGCCTCTGTAAGAACATCAGGCAGCTCCTTCCAGATGTCCTCACTTTTCCTTTCTTCCCCAACCATATACTCCTTCAGCTGGTCTGACAACAACATCCAAGTTTTTCTCAGTTTCAACTTCTTATATGATAGCATTAACATTAATTTTTCCCTTGCATAGTTGACCTTGTTTTATGGAATGACTTAATTTAACCGACATTTTTATATAGAGACTTAAGGGAGGAAGCCTGGCATACTCACAGGCGTTATTAGGTTATCTATTACTTTGAAACGGTGAAAAGATTTGGGTAAAAATACAAACTCGCTGTGGCAGCCAACAACAATATTTAAAATTACATTGAAATTCTTCCAAAATTGACAGAACAGCAATTTCAAAATGTTCTCCTTCATTTACTCCACCACATCAACATTCCTCGTGGCAACATTGTCTCTGAGCTTACTGTAGTATTAGTAAAAAGGGGTAAGGGGGGTACGGACATCATGCAAGGTCAACGAATCATAATTCCAAATTCCTTTGTCTCGCGGGATGCAGCCAATAATATCCCCCCTCATGAAGTAAACATATACCACAATACCTCATCATTACCTCATATTTTCCCCTTCTCTTTCATTTGTCATTCGCCTCAAACACGGAGTAACAATACCTTAACATATGCTTTTTTCTCTGGTAAGGTGTAAACGTGTTGACATTCCTGACCAATTTAATCTCATCCTACCCAACTATAGCAACGGAATGTGGACTGTTATTTCTGCTGTGGGTTAACGTAAGGTTCTGAAGATGATTATCCCGACACATTCCCCTATTATCTACCCGAGAGTTAAGAGCGGCGGACAAACACACGCTCATTGGTATATTTCTTACGTGTAAACAGACAAAACATACAGACTTCCAAATTAATTCTGGTTTATCTACTAACTTCTTGGTGCTGTGCGTCATGATGAAAGTTTCTCAGTTAATTCTTTCTTGTTCACATATTTATTTATTGTTATTTGCACATTCTCGTTATTTTAGTCTATGTTTAATTACATTTAGATAATTATTGTGTCGTGTGTGTTATCAGGGGAGTTGATATACATAAATCACAAACATGAAAACTTGGATATTTCGTTTTTTTTTATGCCATATTCAATTCTTAGAAGGTTCCACACTGCTCTAAATCACCTCTGGTACAACTGTGAACTCTTTCCTTAGTCTCGGTATTCCCACAGTGAGTGTTGTGACGAGCAGTGCCCCACCACCACCCACCCTTCATCGACCCACGAAGACATCATGGAGGGTCCATGACTTTTCTGTTGAAATTCAATTCTGCTGAACCTTTGTCTACCCAAATTCATTTATATCTCACAATAAAAACTGTGTGGAACTCCTAACTCATGTGTGTTTTGTGCTTCAAATATCACCCATCTCTGGCAAGGGGATGCTTCTGTCTCATCTCTCCCTGCGCCTTTTTAATGTGTTTGAAGAATCAACAATGTTAGTATGTAATAAATCCACCAGCAAGGAAAATGAATAAAAACTTTATGTACAGAGCAACAGGGAGATACCCAGCCTTTAGTTCCAAGTTAACAATAGAACAACTCACTAAGAATGCTGGTGAGGAAGAGGTGAGGTTGAGGACGTGTTGGCCATCTTGGAGTCTCGCCTGCAGGAAAAACTGTTGGGTGAGGCCGCCGCTGCCCCCCGCCACACACTTCACCCTGACGGAGGTGCGGGTCCTGCTTCCTATCGTACAATTACTTGGCGGGTCCGGCTTACCTGAAGAAGATCGGGATCAATTAGGCGAGAAGACTGGGACCAATTAAGCGAGGGGATTAATGGAAACAGGTTATCGGAGGAGTTACACAGGGAAGACCTTCGGTAAAAGTAGCGATTTTTATAGGGATCTTTGTGTATAGGAGAAACCATAGTAGAAGGATCCGAGACTTTCTGGGGAAGTAATTACAGAAAATAACACTTATCTGTTGTCAGAAAAGTTTAAGGAACATGAAATTATTGTGGTCTTGGAAATACAAGTACAGTCGGCGGAATATGTTCGTCGAGACCCAACCTTCTCTTATCACTCCTCGTCTCCCCTTACCTTTACATTATTAACAGGTCGGTTGTCCTTCTCTATACTTGTTGGGTTCTGAGGCTTTATTTGTCCGACTATACAATATTATTATGTAGGATATGATGAAGTATATTTCCAATAATATCGAAGAAACTCTAACGCTTACACTCATATATCAAAGCTTAGAAAACTTCTCCACTTTTCGTCACTGCCCAACAATATGCGGACAAGGAACTAGGAGGAGAAAATGTTGGCTTTGCCCAAGAGAAAATAAATATGAGAGGGTTAGTAATGGCAGCCGAAAACCTTTGAAGTGGAGGACCATAGTCGCCAATCGTGAGACATGAGGTTGGCTCCTTGATTGGCTGAGTGGCATTAATTACATCAACTGGGCGTTTCGTTTATGTGAGGAATGTTTCGGTGCTTACCAACACAGCGCCTCCTCCCATCTTATTGGTCCAGCGGATGCAGTGTTTCTCCCTAACTTTAACTGGATGTCAAAAACACTACAAACATTGTCTGAATGAAATAAAAGATTCCATTTATTGGTAAGACTTTTTGTCGAAGGATTTTATTAGGGAGGCGTTTCTATACTTAACATTACCCAAAAAATAGTATTTTGAATTATTTTCTCTGGTTGTATTGTCAGAAGAGAATAAATGAACAGATATATAGATAACAGAAAGATCTCCCAACCTGACTATCTCCTCGTAACGAATAATCCTTAGGCCGAGACTCATTATATTAGTTATGATTTACATAGTAGGAATACCTTAGAGCTCATCCTTAATGCAGTATAAATATAAACCACATGAAGACAAAACAGTTCAAATTCTGACTATATAGACCAATAAAATGGCATGAAGTATGTTATGATATTTTAAGGTCTCATCTCTCAAAACAAATAAAAGTTTTATCAACAACTTCAAAGGCCTGTGGAGAAGACTAATACATAAATTATCGTGGTATTAATATATCTTACCGCCTTAGCCTCATAGTTGTCCACACGACCACTACCCGGTACAGTATTTGGTTTACAAGGTACAGCTACAACAAAACCTGTATTACTTTAGTGTTCTGTTAGTCTGAGGAGCTTGTGAGTGCCTTACCTGCGGGCACAATGTGGAAGACGCAAGGCTCCCTCTGAGTACCGATCTCGTTGGACGCCCAGCACAGCAGCGTACCATAGTCCAGGGAGGTCATGGGAGTGTACGTAATGACGCTGTGGCTGCTGGAGGAGGTGAAACGCCCTTTTGGGACGTCGATGGTATCCGCTGTGTTATTAAACGTCCATTGGAAGGTTGCCTGCAGTGGGTTGGCCTGCACGGAGCACGTGACCTCGGCGTCTTCGTCGCGACTCACAGCGTAGCTTGTGACCTGCCCAGGTGAGCACACGGGGGCGTCTGGTGCCAGAGAAATACACCTATTTTGTCGAATTTGTTGTGTTTTAGATGAACCATTATGGCTTTGTAATATAGTAATATCTTAGACTTTGTGTTTATTGGAAACCTTGATTAGTAGTACTTGAAATGGACAGTAATTTGTAAACTATTGTGGTTACCAGGGAATTATGGCAAGCATACTTCAAAAATATTAAATAGAAGTTATTAGTAACAGCGTATTATGCCAAATAATAACTCAAATTGATGAAAAGACCACTTGTAGGGCAGCATGTAGGCATTATTGACTACCCGGGGAGTGGCAGAGAGCGTGTATAGCTTCCCTGTACAGTGGGAAAGATGATTAACATACATGTAACAATTATAGAGGATAACTATATTAGACAAATATTTTCAGTATGCCACGGCAGTTATATATTATGATAAATGAGGAAATTATAGCCAAGAACGTGCTAAGGTAATTTAATACTGTGTTCAGAAAATGAGGAAGATGTATACAGTAGATCAAGTAACTGCATTAAAAAATATGAGTGAATCTGTTACTTGATGGGAAAAATGAGGAATTATTCCAAATGTATGTAAGAAATTGTTTAATGCTGTTCAAAATTAATTCAAGGAGATAGACGGATATGTTTGGGTATTTAAAGGAGACTAAGTAATTACAAAGTATTTCGCATAATCAGAACAATTACAAAGTTCATTCGAGTTACTGAGCAACACACTCAGTCTTACCTCGAGATACTCACATTTAACATCGAGCCTGAGTGTGTTAGAGCTGCCATCGCCGACCACATTATGTGCATGACAGGAGTAGCGACCCGCCTGAGCCCTCACCACCCCCTGCAGCACCAAACTCTGGTTACTGATGATCACGCCAGCTGACACGTTAGGGACCAGTATCTCATTCTGCAGTAAGTGGCAACACGAATCAAAAGTTGGAGATATATTCCCTGTAAATGTAAACAATGTAAATACCTATTAGTGTGATATGGATCATGCTCCCAACTAGTGGTGATCTAATAAACTGATGGAGGTGGTTATACTCACCTGCCCAACTCGCGGAAGGGGTAGTGAGCTTTATTTTAACATTTTAGAGTGAGTGTTCTGGTCCTTTCAGGTTTCAATGGAACTTCTGCCACACTAGTAGAATTTACGTCATAATTACAGCTACGAAAACTAAAATGGAGGCACAACAAACCCCTACCACCACAGTAATTACCACCACTACGTTTACACAGCCTCTACTACCACCACCACCACACAACAACCACCACAGCTACACAACCATACAACTACCACAAAAATTACACAACCACCACTACAGTCAAACAGCCGTCACCACCACCAATCACACAGCCACCACCACCACCACAGTCACACAGCCACCACAACCATCACACGACCACCACCACCATAGTCACACAGCCACCACCAGTCACACGACCACCACCACCAGTCACACGACCACCACCACCAGTCACACGGCTACCACCACCACCAGTCACACGGCTACCACCGCCACCAGTCACACAGCCGCCGCCACCACCACAGTCACCACCACAGCTACTACAGGTGACTCACATTGTGCCGCCAGGAGACGTGGGACACCTTCGGATTGGCCTGAATGGAACACTCGAAGTAAACGTCATCACCTTCCTTGATGTTACCAGAGTCCAGCGACGAACCGAAGCTGGCAGTCGCATTAGGCAGGTCTGTGTGAGGGAAAGACGTTCTCAGAAGACGTATTTAGACGTTTAAAAGGCGCCAGGAAGATAATCTAAGTAATAAAGGACATGATTATGGGAGAAGTACGAGAAAAATTGTATTTCTTGCATGATAACACTCGTCTTATATACTGTACATATGGCTATCCTTAAATTAATGTAATTCTTGTAAGATTTATCATATATTGATGGCAAATGTGAGGGTGTTAAGTAATCCTTGATGCCTAAGCTGATAGCATTATCTGTTTGATGCAGAAGAAAGGTGGTAGAGTATGAAGAAATGTTCGTGGTAAGAAACGAAAGAAAAATTAAGCTAACCAATTTTGGAAGCTGCCTCAGCTGTGAGCAAAATGAAAAATGATAAGAGCTGTTAGGTTAATCAGCTTCCAGCAGAATTTCCAACATAAATGGGCTGGTATTAAATATTTGAATACAATATGTGACTTTATATATAAGGAGGAAGACTGTGATTAAAAAAGATATTTCCAGTATTATATATAAAAAAAAAAAATCTTACAGTGCACCCAATTTAGGATAATTAGTTTATCAAGTTATACTGGTAAAATTTTACTCAACATAATTTTATATAGAATAAAAGCTAGAATAGACACTGAGTTATCTGAAGATTAAATTGGATTAGAAAGAAAGGATGAACTAGGGGAGTCATCTTTGTTTGGTGAATTTTAAATGACAAGGCTTTAGAGGGTCAAAGAAACTTGAATATGTATATTGTTGACTTTTAAATAATAGTGTTGATAGGATAAACAAATAGAATCATAGATACAGTGCACAATAAAATTAATTGTATTGTATGTTGAAGACTACAGTGCACAGTGGAATTAGTTAAGTGTGTATTGTGAGGGTACACTGTACTGGATAGCGACATTTACTTATGATGTATTGTGAATGGTATAATTTACAACATAGTTACTTATTGTGCATTGTGGGGGTTTAGAGTGCTAAGTATGTGCTACCAAAGTTAAAAGTGCAAAATAGGGTTACTTGCACTCTATTATGGGAGTTACAGTGTACAATAAAATTATTTACAGTGAAGTTTGAAGGACATAGTGCAGGATAGGATTATTATTACAGTTATTGATGGCGTGTCACTGTATATGAAAACTTATAGTGAGTAGTTAGGGCTTCGGTGCACAGTCATATTACTTACAATGTACAGTACTGTAAGCGTTGCAGTGTACAATTGAATTATTTTCACTGTATTGTGAAGGTTTAGAGCACAGTTTAATTACTTTCAGTATACTTGGAGGTTACAGAGCACAGGTGAACTACTTACAGTATACAGTGAGGTTCCAGAAGTCTTCCATGGTAGCGTTGACGGCCCGGGTCTCCGCCACACACCTCAGGAAGGAACCATGGTCTTCTGGCCTCGGCGTGAAGACTAAAGTACTGGTGGTGACGTTACCATCCGCGGAGGTCTGCAGGAAGGGGTGATTGTGGCGTTAGGTGATGGTGTAGCCGGGTAGTATTACATGGTGTGGAGGGTTATGTGGTGTGGTAGTGTACTATTAGATGGTGTGGAGGGTTATATGGTGTGGTAGTGTACTATTAGATGGTGTGGAGGGTTATGTGGTGTGGTAGTGTACTATTAGATGGTGTGGAGGGTTATATGGTGTGGTAGTGTACTATTAGATGGTGTGGAGGGTTATGTGGTGTGGTAGTGTACTATTAGATGGTGTGGAGGGTTATGTGGTGTGGTAGTGTACTATTAGATGGTGTGGAGGGTTATGTGGTGTGGTAGTGTACTATTAGATGGTGTGGAGGGTTATGTGGTGGTATGTGGTGGTACTATTAGATGGTGTGGAGGGTTATATGGTGTGGTAGTGTACTATTAGATGGTGTGGAGGGTTATGTGGTGTGGTAGTGGTACTATGTGGTGTGGTACTATTAGATGGTGTGGAGGGTTATGTGGTGTGGTAGTGTACTATTAGGTGTGGAGGGTTATATGGTGTGGTAGTACTATTAGATGGTGTGGAGGGTTATATGGTGTGGTAGTGTACTATGGAGATGGTGTGGGAGGGTTATATGGTGTGGGTAGTGTACTAGATGGTGTGGAGGGTTATGTGGTGTGGTAGTGTACTATTAGATGGTGGGAGGGTTATATGGTGTGGTAGTGTACTATTAGATGGTGTGGAGGGTTATGGTGTGGTAGTGTACTATTAGATGGTGTGGAGGGTTATATGGTGTGGTAGTGTACTATTACATGGTGTGGAGGGTTATATGGTGTGGTGTGGAGGGATGTGGTGTGGAGAGGGTTATGTGGTGTGGTAGTGTACTATTAGATGGTGTGGAGGGTTATATGGTGTGGTAGTGTACTATTAGATGGTGTGGAGGGTTATGTGGTGTGTGGTAGTGTACTATTAGATGGTGTGGAGGGTTATGTGGTGTGGTAGTGTACTATTATGGTTAGATGTGTGTTATGTGGTGTGGTAGTGTACTATGGTGTAGATGTGTGTGGGATGGTGTTATGTGGTGTGGTAGTGTACTATTAGATGGTGTGGAGGGTTATGATGGTGTGGAGGGCTATGTGGTGTGGTAGTGTACTATTAGATGGTGTGGAGGGTTATATGGTGTGGTAGTGTACTATTAGATGGTGTGGAGGGTGGTGTGGTAGTGTACTATTAGATGGTGTGGAGGGTTATGTGTGTGGTAGTGTACTATTACATGGTGTGGAGGGTTATGTGTGTGGTAGTGTACTATTAGATGGTGTGGAGGGTTTATGTGGTGGTACTATTACATGGTGTGGAGGGTTATGAGGTAGAGGGTACTATTACATGTGTGTGGAGGGTTATGAGGTAGTGTGGCAGGGTACTATTACATGGTGTGGAGGGTTATGTGGTAGTGTGGCAGGGTACTATTACATGGCGTGGAGGGTTATGAGGTAGTGTGGCAGGGTACTATTACATGGTGTGGAGGGTTATGAGGTAGTGTGGCAGGGTACTATTACATGGTGTGGAGGGTTATGAGGTAGTGTGGCAGGGTACTATTACATGGTGTGGAGGGTTATGAGGTAGTGTGGCAGGGTACTATTACATGGTGTGGAGGGTTATGAGGTAGTGTGGCAGGGTACTATTACATGGTGTGGAGGGTTATGAGGTAGTGTGGCAGGGTACTATTACATGGTGTGGAGGGTTATGAGGTAGTGTGGCTGGATAATATTACATGGGTAATACCTCAGTAGATGGCTAACACCATTAGTTGTTCGATTTCGTTATTTGTTTCCACAGATATACTTGGGATGGTAAGTTATAAAAACGATACAACTTTCTATTTGATTAATTATATGTAGAACAATTAATTTATTTTTATTTTTAGTTTTTCTCTATTACGACCATAAACCACATGTAATAAGCAGGGTGTGAAGGGTTCAGGAAATTATGAGGTAAAACACGGTGAAAAGCTGATCATATGTCACTAAAATGATATCTCTACGTGCTTTGTAGGCGAAGAAATTATTTACCATAAATATTCCTCCACAAAAATCTGTTGTCGGCGGCGCGTGTTGTCGTCTGCTGTTTGTTTACTTTCGGTCCCAGCGTTCCCTCACGACCACAAAAAATGTAAAATAACAATTTGACGCTTCAACAAAGTTACTTTCATTAAAACCAGACATAAAAATAAGTACTTTCTACTAAATATGGCAGGGGGGGGTCCTGGAGGCGGAGCCCCCCTATGAAGTTAGGTAAGGTTAGGTAAGGTTCTTTGGTTGGTTAGGTCAGGTTCTATTAGGTTCTGTGCATTGTTGTATCGTTTTTATTATTTATCATCATCCAAAAAGCATTTGTTAAAAAAATTAATAAAATCAAACAAGCCATCTCCTCTAGGATTACGATACACATAATAACAAAACCGAACAAAATAACCAACATAAAACAGGAACACTGAAATGCCGAAAAGCTGCCCCACAACACTGGCTTGCCAAACTGATAATGAGCTATCCATACTAACAATCAACATTAACAGTAAGAAGGTGAAGTCCACTTGGCTTGGGGAGGTGGAAGACTAGCGATGACATCCATGGAGCCTCGAGGGGTGGATGACGGTAGCGGTGAGGTTCATTTAGCTTGGGAGACGAGGACCACTTGGCCTTCAGGGATAGGTGGAAGCAGCGGTGAAGGCCACTGAATTGGAACGATAGCTGGAGACAACAGTGGGGTAGGGTGTGAACCAGCCAGCACGAGTCACTCATCCAACCTTAGGACGTCTCTCTCTGTCCGGCCCGGCCGAGGTGAACTACTACCAACCAAACGAAACGAAACCCCGAATCCAATTGAACAGTACCGAAATGTACGGAAGATCACACGACTCAAACAAGGCGGGGTGCGCGTGAATACAGTACGCCTAAATCCTTACAGGGGGTTATGTGTAACTGGGAACAAGTTTATGGTGCGGAGGGTTTATGTGTTATGACAGGGTACTATGAATGCGAAGTGGTTCCCAATCGCTAATACCTCTTGTTAAAAATCTTGTGTCAAAACTGGTCAACACTAGTCATAGTCTCACGAATCAATCGAATAAATTTCTATATACCCTAAAGACAGTCTTGTCGACTCGTGTACTGTCCCCATAAACCATGAAGACTAAAAACACAGACAAGAGCTCCACATTGACAGCTGAGTCTTTTCCTGCGTTCAATTATACTTTCTTGTTACAATCGTACCCGAGTTGATCACCGACCTTTGTCAAGACAAGTTGTCCCCCGGTTAGCTATCGGGTTTACGTGAAATTAACTGTGTAGCCATGTCTTCTGTTCTCGGTGTAGAATAGCTCTTTGTCTCCTTGAGGGTGTAACTGAGACAAGCGGAGTGGAATGTGATGCTGGGGAAGAGGCTGGGAGAGTCTAGTATAGTAGTATTTTTCTCCTGAACTGTGGAAACTGATCATAAATGATATAACACTGAACCAGCTAAGTGCACTAACTTTTTTTTTCTTCTGGAGGACAAAAAAAGTAAGATGGACCCAGATTATGGCAAGGTAGCATCATTATTTGGGGATTCATAAGTAAGGTATTTGGGTCGTGTCCTCTGTAACAGTGACGGAGGAAACAGGCTGAGGGTGTGTTTTCCAGGAGCTGGAGTGAGAGACTTGGCAGACAGACTGGCCAATATCATGTCTGGCAAGGGGAACAGAGTCATTATCTGCCTCAGTGCAGGAGGAACTTCATCGACAGCTGGGACAGATTCCATGGCGGAAGCGATCTGTATGCAAGGACTGGGGTCTATATGTCTAGGGCAGGGGTGCATCTGTTTAGGGACGGGGTACATCTGTCTAGGGACGGGGTACATCTGTCTAGGGCAGGGGTACATCTGTCTAGGGCAGGGGTACATCTGTCTAGGGACGGGGCGGCAGCTCACACGAAGGAGTAGTTCCTAGGTTGTCATGATCTTGAAATTGGTAGATGATAAAGGTATGGGAATGTGTAACACAATAACACAGTAACAATGGTGAAAAAATTAGCCAGAGATGTATGTAAAGGTAGGAGTCGTTCTGAGGGAAAACTTAAAAGTGCTGTACCAAAAATCAGAAATAATTTAGTTATAGCTGAACGAAAGTAGAGTAGACTTAATAACACGGGTAGTATATAAACTATTAAATTCTGTTATATAGGAAGGGAAACTTAGTAAGAGATGAAGGAACTGGACCATCAATTGCATTACATTATAGAGAACTTCAAAACTAAATAAGTAGACAACCCTGAATGGGAATTAAGAATCTGAGAATTTCTTGCGATTTGTTCAAGTTTTATCATCAAGGAATTTATTGATGAAAGAATAATTCACTCAATTTAATTTCATTAAATAGAAAAAAAAAGTTTCGTTGATGATATGAGTGAGTTACGAGGGAAAGGTTATAAATAAGTCATACCTGAAATAACTTAGATAAACTTAGAGAAAATTCCATTAGAGTCCCAGATTGTTTTAAAGAACATATTATTAATGTATTAAAGGAGCGTTAAGGGAGATAGTGCGGTCGAGGTTAAGTGAAGATGGTGGCCTCAACTCTCAGCCGCAAAATATCTTGAAAATATTTAGAGAAGGTTGAGGAAGTTAATCCCGAGCATCAATAATCTTCCATGTAAAGATAAATTAAGGAAACCGACTTATTAGCCACTTGAGAGTCATAGAGTGAAGAGATATATGATTTAATTACAGAAACGAAAGATTGGGTTAAATAAAGGTGATATAAATGAGATACTTAAACTATTAAATCAAGAAAACTCATAAAAAATTAAATTAAAGGATTTTGGTTTTAGGAACGTAATGGGGTGCAAATTAGTTCAGAGGTGGAGTTGTGAGATGAACAAGTTACCAAATACATCACTTAGGTAATTACCTTGGGAAGTTTCAATCCAGGCTGGAGGGCAGATTTATGAGTGATAATGATTGGGTGGAGATAGGAGCCGCTCGCCCTCCATCCT